CCACCCGCCCCTGACCTGCCATTGCCCCCTGAGCTCCCTGAGCTGCTCCTGCTCGTCCTGCACCCCCCCCCCGCCCATGCTCACCTGTGCCTGCGCTGCCCTCGCTCCCTGAGCTGCCCTCACTCACCTGCCCCTGCTCTGCTCTCATCCCCTGAGCTCCCAGAGCTGCCCCCTGCTCATCCTGCTCCCCCTGCCCCTGCTCACCTGCCCCTGCTCTGCTTTCATCCTCAGAGCTCCCCTCCGCTCCTCTTGCCTCCCCCTGCCCTTGTTCACCTGCTCTTGCTCTGCCCTCATCCCCCGAGCTCCCAGAGGTGCTCCCGTCCTGGCTTCTCCTGCCTCTGCTCACCTGCGCCTGCTCTGCCCTTGCTCCCTGAGCTGCCCCTGCTTGTCCTGCCTCCCCCGCTCGCCCCATTCCTCAAGTGTTCCTCCTTCCCATCCCGGCACCCTGGGCTAAGGCAGTTTTCACTTCTTGCTTCATTCCTTGCCCAGGGCTGGGCTCACTCCCTGCACCATGGGGCTGTCCTCAGCTGGGCCCCTTGCCCCTGGCCTAGTCGTCTCCGAGGTGAGCTCCTTGACCCTTGGCCTCTCCTCTTCCTTCTGCCCCCGCTCTGGGAGCTTTCCCTGGACCTTGCTTCCCCCAGTCCCCTGCTCTGCTGGGTCCACTGCCCTGTGCCCATGGGACCCTCAGCCCCTGCCCATTGCCCCCTGGCCCAGGAGCCAGGCCCCTCTTTGGCCTTCCTGTCCTCTTCCCTTTTCCCTCCTGGTGCATGCTCTGCACAGTCACCCTTCTCTCCACAGCGAACCTTGGCCCTGCTGCCCTGTATAGGCTCCCCACCGCCCCGCTTGCAGCCTGTCCTGCTGCCACGCCTGCCCACCATGCTCTACCCCCAGCTCACCTGCCGCCCCTGGCCCTGGCTGGGCTGAGGACACCTGGGCACGACCTCTGACCCTGTTCTGCACTGGGGCCACTTTCCTGGTCTGGAAAGGCCCCTTCAGCCCACTAGGGCGTCCTCTCCTCCTGCCCTGTGCCTTGTCCTCTGCTCAGGTCCACCCCTGTCCTGGCGTCCTCCTCCCCTGGCTCGTCTCCACTAAGCACCGCCGCATGTCTCAGCACAGCTTGTGGCCCTGTTCTGTCGTGCTCTGGGTGACCCTGGCCCTTTTGTTCCCAAGGACATGCCTCCAGCCTGTCTAGCCTTGTTGTCTGGGATGCTCGTGGGCCTGATGACAGCCCACTTCCCCTGAACTGGCAGCCCTGCAGGCCTCTGTGTGGGGGCTGGCCTCCCCTCAGCGTCTGCCCTCCTCCCAGGGCCTGTGGACAGCTCGGGTCTGGGAGGGCCCATGATCACCCAGCTCTATCCCCTCCTCTCTACCACTGCCATGCCACCCTACTCACCGAGGTTCTAGGCCCCGAGCCTCACCTGCTCTGGCTCTGCACATGTGGGTCCTCCATGCCCCACACTGCATCCATCACCACAGCTCTGTCTTCCCAGGAGCTGGCAGCTCTGGCCTTCAGGTCCTCAGAAGTGTGGACTCCACCCCCACAGAGACTAAGAACAGGACTGAAACTGGGGTGCATGGCTTACTTCCTGAAGTTCCCTTTTCTTCTGGTGGTTTCTGTGTCAAGGTGAGGGGGGAGTCCAGACATGCCCTGGCTGCCTTGTGGGTATGTGGGGGAGGGGGGTGCTGGGTGCCCCTATACCTAGGGGAAGGATGGGATACCCGAGCTGTCAGGCACTGTCTTTACTCCCTGGCTCCAAGTCCCCAGAACTGCTGGCCCTGGCGGTGACAGTGCCTGCTGCACCCTGATGGCCTTCTCCATGCCTCGGTTCTCATTTGAGCCTGTTCTGTCTTGGTGATTGCTTCTCCTTGGTCCTCTCTCCAGAACCTCTCACTCAGGAGAGCCCAGGAGCCTCCCATGGGAGGAGGAGCATGTGACTGAGCTGGGCAGTGGTTGTCAGGGGCAGCTGCAGTGGAGTAGGGCAGGGTGGTGCCAGAGCTGACACAGGAGAGGGCACTGGGCAGGAGGCCCTGGGTCTGAGCTCTTGGAGGAACTGGGTGGGCTGCCAGGGCCAGGAACACCAGCTCTGCTCCTGGGGCCGGGGATGTGGACACCACAGGAGTACGAGCAGAGTGGGGGCACAGGTTGCCAACTTGGCAGAGGGGAGGCAGAGGAGGTGTTCAGGGCTGAGCAGGGACTGGCAGAGCCTGAGGGCAGGGAGGAAGAGGGGAGTGCGGGGAGAGCTCTGAGCTGAGTGGGAGATGACCTTGGGGTGCGAATCACATCCTTCCCACCAAATGTGCCCTCCAGAGGACACAGCTAGGCATGTGTTCCTGCAGGACCCCTCCCTGGTCCTAGAGAGAACATCCAGGAGAGAGGGGATACTCTTGTAGTTAGTGGTCATCTGTCCTCCAGCTCTGGGCTCCTAATTGGCTGTCTTCAGCCTCAGTTCCATCCTGGTCATGTGAGGCTCATCATTGGCTCATCCTCCCAGGCTTGGGAGGACAAGGTGAAGCTACCATGCAGCCCAGCCACTCACAGAGGGCTGGAAGCCTGAGGGTAGGTTGGGGTGGCAAGGCCTCGTGCAGGTCTGGCTGACCACTGTGTGTCTGTCAGCAAAGGCCTCCACAATAAGCACCAAGACTATGCGGCTTCAACAACAGAAGCCTATTCCCTTTCAGGGTAGAGGCCAGACTTCTGGGGTGAAGATGCCGGCAGGACTGGTTCCTCTGTGTCTTGGGGACAGTCTGCCCCAGGCCACTCTCCTGGCTTCTGAGGTTTGCTGGCAATCCCCGGCCTTCCATGGCAGGTGGAAGCACCACCCCAGTCTCTGCCTTCACTCTATGTGGCATCGTCCCCACATGCCTGTCTGTGCAAATGTTCCCTGTTTATGAGGACAATAGTCATAATGGTTTAGAGGCGTACCCTAATCCAGAAGGACCTCATCTGAACTCGATTACATCTGCAGAGACACTATTT